TGTATTGCCATACAGTACTGGGCTGCTGTCTCTTCCCTGTCTCACTCTCTTTTCCAACTGTTAACGACGATGACCTGCGGAGGGCTTTATATCGGTGGCAAATCATTAGAAAGATGCATATCTCCTCCTACTAACTTTACAGCATTGTTGAGTATTGTAGGTATTTGTTTATTTATTTATGATGATGATCAGGTTAGTGGTAGTTTGGTGATAACTTTCTCTGTGATTTTAATTTTGTGGAGAAAAAAATACATAAACAAAAAAGGGTTTTGGTTAGGGATTTTTTTCTAAACGTTAACGATCCCAATTTTTGTTTAAACGTTCTTCTGTAGTTATTTTGTAGTCTGTCTGTGGTTATTTTGAAGTTCTTCTGTAGTTCTTCTCTTCTCCAACCTTTGACCTCTGACCTGTGTTTGTGGTGACTGACAGGCGACCAAGTCTAAGAAGCCCATTGCGGTGTCTGTGACGCTGATGGACGGACGCACCATCAGCCTGCCTGTAGACTCCGCCTCCACCTCCAAGGAGATCTGCCAGTTACTCTCTGAGAAGGTCTCCCTCAAAGACACCTTCGGCTTCTCTCTCTACGTGGCTCTCTATGAAAAGGTAAGCAGTACTATTATTAGGAGAATAGATCCCCCACCTGTACTGTTTTACTCTGACCTCTACTTCCAGAAAGGTCTTTGAGACACCCTGATTTCCAAATCGACCCCTAGGCCCTCCTGTACATCCGAGGTTTTAATCGATATGGCACTGGCTTCACCTTTGCCTTCTGATAGGCTGAATTACATTTTGGCCATGTTGCTGACCTCTTCAGATCCACAGGAGTGTCTAGGGATGAGAGACGGGGGCTCGATTTGGAATTGAGCAACTGTCTGGTGGACCGATGTGACAGGGTTCTTAGTGTCGGTGTGTGTGTTTAGTGCAATGTCAATTGAGGTGTCTCTTGGTCCCACCCCCCTCCAGGTGTGGTCGCTGGGCAGCGGGCGGGAGCACGTGATGGACGCCATCTCCCAGTGCGAACAGGAAGTGAAACGGAAAGGTGGGCAGGAGCAGCACGCCCCCTGGCGACTCTACTACAGGAAGGAGATCTTCACCCCGTGGCACGACTGCAAAGAGGACTCTGTCAGCACAGACCTCATCTACAGACAGGTCATCAGGGGACTACGCTACGGAGAGTACCAGTGTGACAAGGTGATGTAATGGTAATGCACTGTCAGTCTTGCTCTGGGGTTAAGTTTCCCCTGGGTACAGGTCTAGGATCAGCTTCCCCCCCCCCCCTATCCTAACTCTCACAATTAGCGGGGAAAATTCAGAACTGACGCAAGATCAGTGTCTAGAACAGGGTTCTTCAATTCCGGTCCTGGAGGGCCGAAAACACTTCTGTTTTTTTTTATTTCTACCTGGTAGTTAATTGCACTCACCTGGTGTCCCCAGGTCTGAATTAGCCCCTGATTAGAAGGAGAGGATGAAAAACAGAGGTGTTTCGGCCCCCTCCAGGACCGGACTTGAAGAACCCTGGTCTAGGGTCAACCTTAAACTTACACAGTCAATCTTGAAGTAAAGTGATTTACGTCACTGGTTCATATACTGTACGTCTCGAAGAACCGCTGTAAAGGTTTGGAACATTTACCATGGTCTACCGAGTACCAGTGTGAGAAGGGCTGCGTTATATTATGATATTGTGATATTATGATATTGTGAAATTATGATGTTGTGATATTGGGATATTATGATATTATGATATTGTGATATTATGATATTATGATATTATGATATTGTGATATTGTGATATTATGATATTGTGATATTGTGATATTGTGATATTATGATATTGTGATATTATGATATTGTGATATTATGATATTGTGATATTGTGATATTGTGATATTATGTCTGCTAAACAGGTTCTATTTTTTTTGCTACTGCTGGACTAAAGCAGTCTTGGTCGACCAAACGATCGACCAGAAGACTAAATGGGGTCAGCCATAGTGTACTCAGTGTACATTACTGTAAGGTCGTTGATTTATCCGGGTCGAAGGATCACTTTACGAAGGGGCCACCTCTGACAAGCTCAGTGTGAATCGCATGAAAGCCACTGGCAAAAACGGAGAGTTTTCTTTAAAAAATAAATGGTTGAATTGTTCGAGAATTGGAGATAACAAATACAGACAGACGCATGTCTGTTCTACTAAATATATTCAGAAATAAATGTATCCTCAAATATTTGTTCAGTCTGTTATGCTGTGTGCACTGAACTGACACTCCGATGGTAACACAACTGGTAATATAGACCATGCATAGGCTATAGGCACGGTCCAATACGTTAAAATACTTTTAGCATCATTTTGACCAATATGTTATTAGGCCCATTCCTGGAGGTGTAAATTATATTTTAGATGGTGTCAGCATCATTTTGTTTTCATTAATTTTGAAGTAGAGACTTTTTTTTTTTAAGTCACCAGAACTGAGCATCTCAGTCCTTCTACGTCCAAATTCTCCCGGGGAGGACCCTAAGCAAGGGGACTGGAATTGGTCAAACCCGCATGTACAGAATGATCCTCTTTTTCTAAAAGCATGATGGTCATGACTTTCTTACATGAAATGGGAGGTTAACTTGGCCCCAGACAATCGATCTGAGATCAACTTAAGTTTCAGTCATGGGATTTGTTTTGGCTTTAACCCCTGGCTCTTTCATGGGATTTGTTTTAGCTTTAACCCCTGGCTCTTTCATGGGATTTGTTTTGGCTTTAACCCCTGGCTCTTTCATGGGATTTGTTTTGGCTTTAACCCCTGGCTCTTTCATGGGATTTGTTTTGGCTTTAACCCCTGGCTCTTTCATGGGATTTGTTTAGGCTTTAACCCCTGGCTCATTCATGGCATTTGTTTTGGCTTTAACCCCTGGCTCTTTCATGGGATTTGTTTTGGCTTTAACCCCTGGCTCTTTCATGGCATTTGTTTTGGCTTTAACCCCTGGCTCTTTCATGGGATTTGTTTTGGCTTTAACCCCTGGCTCTTTCATGGGATTTGTTTTGGCTTTAACCCCTGGCTCTTTCATGGCATTTGTTTTGGCTTTAACCCCTGGCTCTTTCATTCTTTATTACTGTTTTATTGGTAATATATTCCTAAGCAGAATACTGCTTCTAACAGAAATGGGCAAAGTTGTTTTACTTAAACTTGAACTAATGTCCTTTCTAATCTCCATTCTCTCCAGGAGGACGACATAGTCCAGCTGTCAGCCAAACACTTCTACATCCAGTATGGATCAGACCGTAGTCTTGACAACGCTAAGACTGTAGTTCAGGACTGCATTAACTCTTCTCTTCTGGAGGCCAAGTCTCAGGACCAATGGCTACAGATGGTCAGCGCTGCCCATGCTCAGGTGAGTTGACTGATTCATTTGAGTTTATTTAACAATTAAGAAAATACACATGTAGACCGTAAATACAAAACATGAGTTAGATCACTCATTAACGGGGTTGTGGTCATTTCCATTTAAATTTAGTCAATTCCATTTAAATTCAGTCAATTCCATTTAAATTCAGTCAATTCAGCAAGTAAACTAGAAATCCAGTTGAAATGTTCCTCATGAAATGGAATGACCCGAATCCTGCACATTACTTATTAACAGACCTGAAGTCTCTGCTGGTCATAGAGACAGCTGTATTATTAACAGGCCTGAAGTCACTGCTGGTCATAGAGACAGCTGTATTATTAACAGGCCTGAAGTCTCTGCTGGTCATAGAGACAGCTGTATTATTAACAGGCCTGAAGTCTCTGCTGGTCATAGAGACAGCTGTATTATTAACAGGCCTGAAGTCTCTGCTGGTCATAGAGACAGCTGTATTATTAACAGACCTGAAGTCTCTGCTGGTCATAGAGACAGCTGTATTATTAACAGACCTGAAGTCTCTGCTGGTCATAGAGACAGCTGTATGGATTAATATGATTGTTTCCTTCTCTACTGTGCGAGACAATGTTCTTTCCTACTGTGTACTGTCTTCTGATGTTCCTCTGCTCTGTCTGCCCTATACCAGGGTCCGTATGTCAACTCCAGGCAGAAAGCAGCAGGTGTGAAGGCTGAGGTGGTGGACTACGCTCGTCAGAAGTGGCCTATGTTCTTCTCCAGGTTCTTCGAGGCCTCCAAGTTCTCAGGTATTAAACACAGTTCTCTCCAATAAAATGATCTCAGGTTGCATCCCAATTCTCCATCCTTCTCCAGAAGTGTACATTCACATACTTCTTATCACAGATTTAACCCTTGGCATGAGGGAGTTTGACATATTTAGGCTATGTCCAAACTGGCAGCCTACTCCCTACGTAGTCACAGATGATCCATTATATTGACCAGATACTCTAGTGGGCGCTCTAACAATAAAAATAAATGTCTTCAAAAAAATGGAAGGCAGTTGGGAGGAGGCAAGATCAGGTGGGGCTATTCTAGCCAATGAGAGGGCAGATGCACGTGTGAACAACAGCCAAAACTGTTTCCATTAGTTACCGCAGCCACAAAGTCAAAATTGGCTATATCTAAAAACAAATTGAAAATAAACATTTGCTTTTTGGTCTTAATTTAAGGTTAGGGTTAGGCATAAGGCTAGCAGCATGGTTAAGGTTATGTTTAAAATCATAATTAAAGAAGATTAATTGTAGAAATAGGCAGAGTTTATGACTTAGTGTTTTTTTCTCAAATTTGCCGGAACGTCATGTGTCCTATTTATATCAGTACACTCGTAAACAACCGAATCATTACGAAACGTCTATTCGATTAAATAAGACACACATACAGTAGCAAATAAGCCATTCAATTTCTTGTTGACCAAATTCGACACTCTGTCAATGACCTCCATACAACAGCTCCTCGCTTGGTGAGTGAAACAAGAGAAGGAAAAAAAGCCACCTGCTGAAGAAGACAGATTTTGGGCCCAGTTACCCCTTTGGCTTTGCCTCTTCCTCTAATGTAGTGCACTACTTTTGATCAGAGCCCTTTGGGTCCATAGCAGAGCTGGTGTATCCCTTTGGGTCCATAGCAGAGCTGGTGTATCCCTTTGGGCCCTGGTCAGAGGTAGTGCACTACATACAGATGTCAGATCTTAATTTGACCCGTTTAATCTCAGGAAGAAAATAATCCTGCAGCAGGATTGAATGTCTGAAGAAATATTTAGAATCGCCGCCAGGGTCAGCTGGAAACGGTGTTTGTATACATTGTACCTTAGACTGCAGGTCCACTGGGCACCAGTTCAAGTAGCCTATGTAGGCTTTGTGCAGGCTACGGCGCGTCTCGTGTGAATTCTTAGGTGGATTATAATAGACTGAACAAAAATATAAACGCAACATGCAACAATTTCAATGATTTTACCGAGTTACAGTTCATATAAGGAAATCAGTCAATTGAAATAAATTAAATAGGCCCTAATCTATGGATTTCACATGACTGGGAATACAGATATGGATCTGTTGGTCACAGATACCTTAATTCTTAAAGGGGGGGGTTCTATGCTGACATGTGGAAATTGTTTTAAGATGGTCATACTATGGATCATTTAGCTATTTGATTCAGAATTTTAGGATCCCTTTAGGTATAAAAAAAAATATAAAACAATTATTTGATAAAATGTTGAATTGGTCCTTTACTACTAAAGCCCAGAGAAATGCATTAAATAAAACATTCATAAATGGCAAAAAAAAAATGTATATACAAGGTTTTGAAGTGTCTGTCCTATATCTAGGAGATGTAAGAAAGATCAGGAAATATATATATATATATTTTTTTACACATCTACAGTGGGGGAAAAAAAGTATTTAGTCAGCCACCAATTGTGCAAGTTCTCCCACTTAAAAAGATGAGAGAGGCCTGTAATTGTCATCATAGGTACACATCAACTATGACAGACAAAATGAGAATTTATTTTCCAGAAAATCACATTGTAGGATTTTTAATTAATTTATTTGCAAATTACGGTGGAAAATAAGTATTTTGTCAATAACAAAAGTTTCTCAATACTTTGTTATATACCCTTTGTTGGCAATGACACAGGTCAAACGTTTTCTGTAAGTCTTCACAAGGTTTTCACACACTGTTGCTGGTATTTTGGCCCATTCCTCCATGCAGATCTCCTCTAGAGCAGTGATGTTTTGGGGCTGTCGCTGGGCAACACGGACTTTCAACTCCCTCCAAAGATTTTCTATGGGGTTGAGATCTGGAGACTGGCTAGGCCACTCCAGGACCTTGAAATGCTTCTTACGAAGCCACTCCTTCGTTGCCCGGGCGGTGTTTCTGGGATCATTGTCATGCTGAAAGACCCAGCCACGTTTCATCTTCAATGCCCTTGCTGATGGAAGGAGGTTTTCACTCAAAATCTCACGATACATGGCCCCATTCATTCTTTAAATAAATAAAATAAATAAATAAATTCTTTCCTTTACACGGATCAGTCGTCCTGGTCCCTTTGCAGAAGAACAGCCCCAAAGCATGATGTTTCCACCCCCATGCTTCACAGTAGGTATGGTGTTCTTTGGATGCAACTCAGCATTCTTTGTCCTCCAAACACGACAAGTTGAGTTTTTACCAAAAAGTTCTATTTTGGTTTCATCTGACCATATGACATTCTCCCAATCCTCTTCTGGATCATCCAAATGCACTCTAGCAAACTTCAGATGGGCCTGGACATGTACTGGCTTAAGCAGGGGGACACGTCTGGCACTGCAGGATTTGAGTCCCTGGCGCCGTAGTGTGTTACTGATGGTAGGCTTTGTTACTTTGGTCCCAGCTCTCTGCAGGTCATTCACTAGGTCCCCCCGTGTGGTTCTGGGATTTTTGCTCACCGTTCTTGTGATCATTTTGACCCCACGGGGTGAGATCTTGCGTGGAGCCCCAGATCGAGGGAGATTATCAGTGGTCTTGTATGTCTTCCATTTCCTAATAATTGCTCCCACAGTTGATTTCTTCAAACCAAGCTGCTTACCTATTGCAGATTCAGTCTTCCCAGCCTGTTGCAGGTCTACAATTTTGTTTCTGGTGTCCTTTGACAGCTCTTTGGTCTTGGCCATAGTGGAGTTTGGAGTGTGACTGTTTGAGGTGGTGGACAGGTGTCTTTTATACTGATAACAAGTTCAAACAGGTGCCATTAATACAGGTAACGAGTGGAGGACAGAGGAGCCTCTTAAAGAAGAAGTTACAGGTCTGTGAGAGCCAGAAATCTTGCTTGTTTGTAGGTGACCAAATACTTATTTTCCACCATACAATGTGATTTTCTACAATGTGATTTTCTGGAGAAACGTATCTAAATCTCATTTGAATGCCGGTCGCGGCAGGCTCTGTCGTACCCGGCCGCGACCGGGAGACCCATGGGCCGGCGCACAATTGGCCCAGCGTCGTCCAGGGTAGGGGAGGGAATGGCCGGCAGGGATGTAGCTCAGTTTGGTAGAGCATGGCGTTTGCAACGCCAGGGTTGTGGGTTCGATTCCCACGGGGGGCCAGTATGAAGAAAATAAAAAATAATGAATTCACTTACCAACTGTAAGTCGCTCTGGATAAGAGCGTCTGCTAAATGACTAAAATGTAAATGTCTAAGGAAATAAAATCACTTCAAAAAGAATGCTGAAATGAAGATCCGACATGTAGGGAATAGGGTGCAATTTGGATCACAGCCGTTAATGTGGTAGAAAGACAGCGCCAGTAGGAGGAAGGGAAGGCATTAGTGCAGCGATCCCTCCCTGCTGTTGGGCCTCTGGTCAAAAGTAGTGGACTATATAGGGAATAGGGTGTCATTTGTCATTTAATCTAAATGATGTGTAAAGTGGTTGTCCCACTGGCTATAAGGTGAATGCACCAATTTGTAAGTCGCTCTGGATAAGAGCGTCTGCTAAATGACGTAAATGTAAATGTAAATTTGGGATGCAAACATTTGGTTTTTCCTGCTGGTTTAATCCATTATGCATATTACCAGGTCCTGCACTGCCTAAAAACAAGTTCATTGTGGCGATCAACTGGACAGGCATCACCTTCCTGGATGAGAAGGAGAGGAGACTGCTGCAGCTCTCCTACCCAGAGGTCACTGGGGTCAACACCATGAGGTACAGCACAATAAGCTATAGGTTAAAGGTCACAGTTAAGGTGCACAGTGGTTGGGAGCAGGGTGAGCTTCCCAAATTGCACCCTATTCCCTATGTAGTGCACTACTTTTGACCAGGGCCCGTAGGGTTCTAATCAAAAGTAGTGTGCTATATACGTAGGGAATAGGGTGCCATTTGGAATGCCACCAGGAAGCTAGGTCAAAGGCTGCACAGAGGTTGGACAGTTTTTGTGTTATGGGAACATTTGCCTTAACCTAATGAATGTTCTGGGAACTTTCACAGAACCAATTTTGGTTTGCTGGGGAAATTACTGGTGCATTATGTTACATTACATTACCTGGAAACCTAATGAGAACATTTGGGGAATGTTCTGTGGTGGTTGTTACAGATATTGTGCACAACATTTTTGTGAATGTTAGGAGAACATTCCAAGGATATATAATATTTATTTTTACAAATGTGTTATCAAAAACATTCTTTGAATGTTTTGGGGATGTTATCATCCTAATGTTAGATAAAACCCTACTAGAACTTAATGGGAATCTTAGCTGATGTTCTGGGAATGTTCCCGGTTCACTGGGTAGTGAATAATACCCTGGATTATATGTTGGATACCTCATTATGAGTTAACTAGTATCTTTCAGTAATATGAGTGATTCTCCTCCTTCTCTCAGGGATGGGCAAGGCGTTTGGCCATTCTGTGTGTCTCCTCACTCTGAAGGGAGACTTCTCTCTGAATGCAGCGATGGCTGGGAACATAGCAGAGCTGGTGCATCTGTTCCTGGGAGGACTGAGGGAACGCTCCCAGTACGCTGTAGGGCCTGCAGGAGGTCAACCAAGGTTGGTCAGACACAACACCAACCAAGGATTTAGCAAACATTTATCTTTTAGCAAACTTTAATCAAGTTTTAGATAAGTTGGTTTGACCATATATACGAAAATTGCATCCTATGGGGACAGCAGAAGAACCCTTTTGGAACCTTTTTTTCTAGTTAATTAGGGTCAAACTTGTCACCATTTTTAAAAATATTTAGTATTTTATAATGATCCCCAATTAGCCTACTCTTCCTGGGGTCCAAACAGGAAACAAAACACAACACATAATATACATAACACTACATAATAAAATACATTAATACAATGCAAAATACAATACAAAATATATACAAATGTCTGTGTCTCTTCACAGTCCCCATCATGCTGTGTTCTTTAATCTGGTTTTTGAATCTGGTTTTATTGCTAGTTTGAGTTACCTGGGGTGGCAGAGAGTTCCATGTAGTCATGTCTCTATTTAATACTGTGCGTTTCCCAGCCTCTGTTTTGGACCTGGGGACTGTGAAGAGACGTCTGGCTGCATGTCTTGTGTGGTACCATTGAGTGTCCGAACTGTGTCCCAACTGCTTGAACAAGACAGTTCGGTACCTTTAACTCATCAACACCTCGCACAGAGACCAACAGTGATTCAGTCAATCTCTCCTCAACTTTGAGCCAGGAGAGATTGACATGCATACAACTGACATTCACCTCCATGTACATCAAGTGCAATACATGCTGCTCTGTTTTGGACCAACTGCAATTTTTTTGCAATGTCCTTCTTTTGCCGCACATGACTGGTTGATTTAGATGTCAAGAAAGCAGCGCAACGCCTTATCATGGACAGACCTCTTCCCATTTTAGCAACCATTGAGTCGATATGTTTTGACCATGACAGCTTGCTATCTAGGGTTACACCCAGCAGTTTAGTCTCCTCAACTTGCTCAATCGCCACATTATTCAGTAATACATCTAGATGAGGTTCAGGGTTTTAGTGACTGATTTGTCCCATAAACTATGCTTTTATTTTTTGAGATATTTAGCACCAGGCTATTGCTAGTTACCCATTCTAAAACTGACTGGAGCTCTATGTTAAAGGTGTCAGTTACTTATTTTACTGTTGCAGCCGACGTGTATGTGGTCCTCTGTAGCTCAATTGGTAGAGCACGGCGCTTGTAACGCCAGGGTAGTGGGTTCGATCCCCGGGACCACCCATACGTAAAAATGTATGCGCACATGACTGTAAGTCGCTTTGGATAAAAGCGTCTGCTAAATGGCATATTAATATTATATTATTATTATTATTATTATACTGTTGAATTGTCAGAGTACATGGACACACAGGCTTTATTCAAGGTCAGATGAAGGTCATTAGTAAAAACAGTAAAACAATAATGGTCCAAGCTGGTTATGATCAACGCCATCAAAAGCTGCACTGAAATCTAAGAAAACAGCTCCCACAATCTAGGTGTGATAAAACCTTGAAAAAACGAATCCCCTCCCTCTCTCCCTCCCTCCCTCCCTCCCTCCCTCCCTCCCTCCCTCCCTCCCTCCCTCCCTCCCTCCCTCATTAGGGTCAAACTTGTTTTTGAAAGATCTCAGGAAAGTAGCCTACCCCCATCACTAGGTTAAACAGCTTGAGAATAGCCTCTCTCGGCTTAGGACTGCTGTGTTTCAGCATCTCTGTTAGAATGCTGTCTGGCCAACAGGCTTTACCGCTCTTGGACTACCTGTATTTTAATCATCTAGTTTAGACAGTGTAATAGGATTGTCCAGCAGGTTTTGTTGGTCTGTTACTGTTCATTCTAATTATGTCAATTGTTCTATTACTGATGTTTGGGTGGAGTTAGGTTATTGTTCTTGAATTTATAGAGGTTTTCAAAATACTGTTGCCAGATATTCCTATCTTTGATTGGGATGGCTTTCTTTTTAACAGTGGTATCGAATTTCCGCCATGATTCCCTAAATTAATTTTTATTGATTGCTATTTTGTCAAGCTCATTGGTCATATAGAGGGATTTTTTCCTTCGTAATAACTTATTATATTGGTTTAGGGCCTGTTGGTATATGAGACCTGTCTCCTAGTTTACATCTGTCTGTCTCTCTCTGTCTCTCTCTCTCTCTCTCTCTCTCTCTCTCTCTCTCTCTCTCTCTGTGTCTCTCTCTCTCTCTCTCTCTCTGTCTCTCTCTCATATAGACGACCCTACGTTCCTGAGTTTTAAGAAAGGAGAGCTGATAGTCCTCATTAAAGACGATGAGCTGACTGTCGGCCGCGGCTGGATCAAGGGCAAGAACGAACGCACCAGCATGACGGGGGCGGTACCCACCGACGCTATCCTGGTCCTGCCCACTCTCACCAAACCTACCAATGAAGTCATGGTATGAACGCATGTCCTTATGTTTTACTATCTAAGGTCAAATTAGGGCTGACAAAGTGTCGATCCTTTCCTGTAGGAAGTGTTCTTCCTCTTTCTGGCACTGAGATAGCTGCTATTCTGAAGAAGGTTTGATTCATCGTGATTTGTGGTTGTTTTACCTACCTTATTTCAATGCACTAATTCTAATCAGTCTGGATAAATGATTAAAATGGCGACATAAAATGTTTCCAGAGTCTTCTGAACCTGTCACCTGACCAGAGGAAGAGCATCATGGCAGCCAATCACAAGGAGACAGGCACCGTGGAGAGAGTGGCCCCCGTGTCCCTCAAAGAGTTCTCCTATGAGTACTTCAGGTAAGAGTTCTCCTACGAGTACTTCAGGTAACAGTTCTCCTATGAGTACTTCAGGTGAGAGTTCTCCTATGAGTACTTCAGGTAAGAGTTCTCCTACCAGTACTTCAGGTAAGAGTTCTCCTACCAGTACTTCAGGTAGTTCTCCTACCAGTACTTCAGGCAACAGTTCTCCTACGAGTACTTCAGGTAACAGTTCTCCTACCAGTGCTTCAGGTAAGAGTTCTCCTACCAGTACTTCAGGGAACAGTTCTCCTACCAGTACTTCAGGGAATAGAGAAACCTCTGATACGATATTAACAGAAAAAGTGATAATAGTATAGCCAATAATATTTAGATCTATATGGTATAGAACTAACACATGTAAAATATATAATATATATGGGAAAACATTGTGATTTTAACCTAAAAGTTCTGTGCTTCTGTCTGTCCCTCCAGGCAGCCCATCAAGGATGTGAACCGTCAGGTGATCTCTAAGAACGTGGTCCCTGAGTGCCTGTGGGCCAACTCCAGGGAGCCAATCAGACAGCCCCTTCTTAAGAGGCTAGTGGGGAACTCTGATCTCAGCCAACGGGCCTGCCTGGCCTTCACTGATATCCTTTAATAATTGATTTACTGCCTTCTCACTGACAGATTACTTCAAGAGCATCTTTGGAATCACCTCAACGTCGCTTTTTAGTCATTTAGCAAGCACTCTTGGCTAGAGTGACATACTCTGGTCTTCACTGATATCCTTACTGAGAAAATAAAATGCTGTCGCTACCTTGCTTTCTATTCAGACCAAGGTGCATGGACAGTGGTGCAGACTGAAGATTAAAATATATATGATATGTGGAAACCAGATGCACTTATTGTAAGTGGCTAAATGTTAAATGTCTTCGTGAGCATTTTTTCTAATCAAGGTTCCATGTCCTGGTACGGGATCATAGACTCACCTCTTCTCTTGTGGTTGGATGGCAAATGACATACAGTTTGTTTAAATACAGTTTTCAGAGATGTGTTGCTAACTGTCCTTGACCTGTGTGTACCTATCCTGAAGTACATGGGGGACTACCCCACCAAGCAGATACAGAGTCCTGTGGAGCTGACAGACCAGATCTTTGGCCCAGCCACCAAGGACGAGGCCCTGAGAGACGAAATCTACTGTCAGATCATGAAACAAATGACCAGCAACAACAACAGGTAGTGCTTTTAGGGCCTGTTTCCCAGACGCAGATATAGATTTAGCAAAGAGACAAAATATTAAATGTTCAATCGAGATTCTTAATGTCAGTCCAGGAGTAGACTTAATCTGTGTAAATCATGAGGGGCTTTTTAACTTTAATCTAAATACAAGGTACAATGAACCCTTTTGGAAAGATGTTTAAAACAGAGCAGCAGAGGACAGGACAACAGAGGACAGGACACCAGAGGACAGGACAACAGAGGACAGGACACCAGAGGACAGGACAACAGAGGACAGGACACCAGAGGAAAGGACACCAGAGGAAAGGACACCAGAGGAAAGGACACCAGAGGACAGGACACCAGAGGACAGGACACCAGAGGACAGGACACCAGAGGACAGGACACCAGAGGACAGGACACCAGAGGACAGGACACCAGAGGAAAGGACACCAGAGGACAGGACAGCAGAGGACAGGACAGCAGAGGACCAGGACACAGAGGACAGGGACAACAGAGGACAGGACCAGCAGAGGACAGGACACCAGAGGAGGAACAGGACCACCAGAGGACAGGACACAGAGAAGGACAGCAGAGGACAGGACAGCAGAGGACAGGACACAGAGGACAGGACACCAGAGGTCAGGACACAGAGGACAGGAACACCAGAGGACAGGACAAACAGAGGACAGGACACCAGAGGACAGGACACCAGAGGAAGGACACCAGAGGAAAGGACACCAGAGGACAGGACAACAGAGGACAGGACACAAGAGGAAAGGACACCAGAGGACAGGACAACAGAGGACAGGACACCAGAGGACAGGACAACAGAGGAAAGGACACTCCTATATATAGATGGGAGGTTACACAAGAAGAATACTATTTTCCTAATGTGGTATTGCTGATTTTGTAACAATGTTGTAACATCCCCAACAGTTTGGAGCAGGACTGGCAGCTACTGTGGCTGTGCTGTGGTCTCTGATGATGATGATGGTGATGATGATGATGATGATGTTGTTGTAACAGGTTCAGTTTGGAGCAGGGCTGGCAGCTACTGTAGCTGTGCTGTGGTCTCTGATGATGATGATGATGATGATGGTGATGGTGAAGATGATGATGATGATGATGATGATTGTTGTTGTAACAGGTTCAGTTTGGAGCAGGGCTGGCAGTTGCTGTGGCTGTGTTGTGGTCTCTTCCCTCCAAGCCAGTCGCTGCTCAAACACACCCAGCGCTTCCTGGAGTCCCGACGGCGTGAAGCCCTGGCCCCTGACTGTCTACAGCGCCTACAGGGATCACTGAGGTACAGTGGCTTGCCAAAGTATTCAACCCCCTTGGCATTTTTCATATTTTGTTGCCTTACAACCTGGAATTAAAATAGATTTTGGGGGGGTTTGTATCATTTGATTTACACAACATGCCTACCACTTTGAAGATGCAAAAAAACAGAAAACTTGAGCATGCATAACTATTCACCCCCCCCCACAAAGTCTATATTTTGTAGAGCCACCTTTTGCATCAATTACAGCTGCAAGTCTCTTGGGGTATGTCTCTATAAGCTTGGCACATCTAGCCACTGGGATTTTTGCCCATTCTTCAAGGCAAAACTGCTCCAGCTCCTTCAAGTTGGATGGGTTCCGCTGGTGTACAGCAATCTTTAAGTCATACCACAGATTCTCAATTGGATTGAGGTCTGGGCTTTGACTAGGCCATTCCAAGACATTTAAATGTTTCCCCTTAAAGCACTCAAATGTTGCTTTAGCAGTATGCTTAGGGTCATTGTCCTGCTGGAAGGTGAACCTCTGTCCCAGTCTCAAATCTCTGAAAGACTGAAAAAGGTTTCCCTCAAGAATTTCCCTGTATTTAGTGCCATCCATCATTCCTTCAATTCTGACCAGTTTCCCAGTCCCTGCCGATGAAAAACATCCCCACAGCATGATGCTGCCACCACCATGCTTCACTGTGGGATGGTGTTCTCGGGGTGATGAGAGGTGTTGGGTTGCGCCAGACATAGCGTTTTCCTTGATGGCCAAAAAGCTCAATTTTAGTCTCATCTGACCATAGTACCTTCTGCCATATGTTTGGGGTCTCCCACATGGCCTTTGGCGAACACCAAACATGTTTGCTTATTTTTTTCTTAAGCAATGGCTTTTTTTCTGGCCACTCTTCCGTAAAGCCCAGCTCTGTGGAGTGTACGGCTTAAAGTGGTCCTATGGACAGATACTCCAGTCTCCGCTGTGGAGCTTTGCAGCACCTTTAGGGTTATCTTTGGTCTCTTTGTTGCCTCTCTGATTAATGCCCTCCTTGACTGGTCCGTGAGTTGTGGTGCCATATTCTTTCCATTTGTTAAAATAATGGATTTAAATGGTGCTCCGTGGGATGTTCAAAGTTTCAGATATTTTTTTATAACCCAACCCTGATCTGTACTTCTCCACAACTTTGTCCCTGACCTGTTTGGAGAGCTCCTTGGTCTTCATGGTGCCGCTTGCTTGGTGGTGCCCCTTGCTTAGTGGTGTTGCAGACTCTGGGGCCTTTCAGAACAGGTGTATATATACTGAGATCATGTGACAGATCATGTCACACTTAGATTGCACACAGGTGGACTTTAATTAACTAATTATGTGACTTCTGAAGGTAATTGGTTGCACCAGATCTTATTTAGGGGCTTCATTGCAAAGGGGGTGAATAAATATGCACCACTTTTCCGTTATTGATTTTTTTGAATTTTTTGAAACTGGTGATGAATTAATTTCACTTCACCAATTTGGACTATTTTGTGTATGTCCATTACATGAAATCCAAACAAAAATCCATTTAAATTACAGGTTGTAATGCAACAAAATAGGAAAAACACCAAGGGGGATGAATACTTTTGCAAGGCACTGTACATGAGCACATCAAATACTGAATATCTTCACTTACTGTACATATTATGGTGGCCCATTAGACCCCATCTCATAGCCCCATTAGAGGGGACCCATTAGACCCCATCTCCTTAGATGTGGAAAGGTCAGGGGTCAGAGGTTAGGGTTATAAGTTATATGTTGTGGGTTAAGGGTTAGGATTAGGGTGGTTGTACTGATTGTACTTTGTGTTGTCTATTAGGATGGAGCCCAGGAAGGTGCCTCCTCACCAGGTGGAGATTTGGGTTATAGGTTAGAGGTTAGGGTTAGAGGTTAGGGGTTAGGGTTGTACATTAGGGTTAGAGGTTAGAGGTTAGAGATTAAAGGTTAAAGGTCAGAGGTTAGGGTTAGAAGTTAGGGTTATAGGTTAGGGTCAGAGGTTAGGGTTAGACGTTAGACGTTAGGGTTAGAGTCAGAGGTTAAGGTTAGAGGTTAGGATCAGAGGTTAGGGTTAGAGGTTAAGGTCAGGGGTTAAAGGTAAGGGGTTATAGGTTAAGGTTAAAGGTTAGAGGTTAGGGTTAGGGTGGTTGTACTGATTGTACTGTGTGTCTATCAGGATGGAGCCCAGGAAGTTGCCTCCTCATCAGGTGGAGGTAGATGCCATCCAGCAGAACTCCACCCAGATCTTCCACAAGGTCCACTTCCCCAACAACATGGAGGAGGTGAAGAGCCCCGCGCCATGACGGTTACTCTGACAAGTGCTAAGCTAAACTTCTAATAATCTGTACAAACAATATGTACAGTCCCTTTCATAACCACTGGTCCTTTGAGCCGGATAGGAACCATTGTCCAGGCATATGTTGTTCCTTTTGTTGCACATGTATAGAACCTGTACTGAATTGTCTAATATGTCCCCTGGGTATCCTTCCACATCCCTATCCTTGGGTCTCCTTCCCATCCCTACTCCTGTGTATCCTTCCACATCCCTACTCCCTGGGTAACCTTCCACATCCCGACTCACCTGGTATCCTCCACATCCCTACTCCCTGGGTATCCTTCAACATCCCTACTTCCCGGGGTTCCTTCCATCATCCCTACTCCCCTGGGTATCCTTCCACATCCCTACTCCCTGGGTATCCTTCCACATCCCCTATCCCTACTCCCTGGGTATCCTTCCACATCCCTACTCCCTGGGTATCCTTCCACATCCCTACTCCCTGGGTATCCTTCCACATCCCTACTCCCTGGGTATCCTTCTCTCCTCCTCATCCCTCTGTAGGTCTTTGAGGTCAACACCAGCACTAGGATCAGGGACCTCTGTCAGACCATCTCCGCCAAGCTCCAGCTGGTCTCATCTGACGGCTTCAGCATCTTCGTCAAAACACCCGACAAGGTTCGTCATCAATACAACAACATCATCAATAAATGTCTTTATAACAGACTGCTGACCTCAGTGATTCAGAGTAGCCTGGTTCCCCTGGAGTCATATGGTGTTTGGCAAGACGGCACAAACAGGTCTGGGACCAGGCTAGGTTCCTGAATATCAGAGGACCTTTTCATACCCAAAAAAGTAGAAAGTAAAACAAGTATTTGTCTCTAGTTTGTGAGACGTCCTTTTGTCCCTATGTTGTCCAGGTTCTCAGTCTGAATGATTCAGACTACTTCTTTGACAGCCTGAGACAGATCACTGATTGGTCCAAGAAAGCCAAGAGTGTCAAAGAGGGTAAGATAAGATCAGATCATGCCTTTAGGAACGCCGTTGATATGCCCACGGCCCAGTGTTGAACCCTTAACAATGGTGTGGGTGTGGTGTGTGTGTGTGCGTGTATGTGTGTGTGTGTGTGTGTGTGTGTATGTGTGTGTGTGTGTGTGTATGTGTGTGTGTGTGTGTGTGTGTGTGTATGTGTGTGTGTTGTGTGTGTGTGTGTGTGTGTGTGCGTGTGTGTATGTGTATGTGTGTGTGTGTGTGTGTGTGTGCGTGTGCGTGTGCGCGTGTGTGTGCGTGTGCGTGTGCATGTGCATGTGTGTGTAGGAGGAGGACCCATGAACATGACCTACCTAGTGTTCTTCATGAGGAAGCTGTGGTTTAACGTCAGTCCTGGCAGAGACCTGGAGGCTGACCTCATCTTCCACTACCCCCAGGTATGTTACAATGGCTGAGTTCCAAACAGCACCCTATTCTCTGGGTAGTGCACTACTTCTGACCAGGGCCCGATTATTACATTTTTTTGGGGGGGGGGGGAAATGTGTATATATTTATTTTATGTGACAAATCATATTTCTTATGAATATTGCTGAGAATCGAACGTAAAAAAACAAAAAAACAAAAAGGTATTCAGGGCACATGCCCATTGATTTTGTTATAATGTTTGAGCAGGGGAACACAGCATTAGCCATGGCAAAATGCATAGAATTGCAGGAAGTTATCTTTAAAACTCCAAAATTGTCTCTCAGCTCCATGCCAAACTGTGTAGAATTGCTGAAAATTAGCGTTTACAACGGCAATAATTTCTCTCCGTTTCCAAGATAGCCTATTAGCTAGAAAGGTATGTTAGAGTCAACACTTCCTCTTCCAATGAACTGTGGGGAGGTTAAAATAATGAAACTGTCTAACGAAACTATTCATTTTAAAATGGATGACTTCTCCTTGCCATTATCATTGGCCAAGAAGAACGTGTTCAAACATTCATTCGTTCCTTGTGCTGTTGGACTAGTAAATGCAAAATAAATTGTATCGGTATATGTACTTATCTATCCAGTGCAGTTGGGACAGCGGTCAGTTGTGAGTGAATGTATCAATGTCCTCTATGTTTTTAGTGGATGCAACATGATGGACTGACTGGTTTAGATGTGATGTGAGAATGCATGTGATGTGATCCTTTTAATGGAAGGTGATGCCAAAGAAAAATGTCCATCCTGGATGGACAATAAAGTTTTCTTCTATTTCATTCTATTCACCTGATGATAAGACAAGATATTACTTATTTTTTTTGATAACATATGATGGGGGTCTCTGGGTCGCCGGTTTGTCTGGGAGGGGGTCCCTGGACAAGAAAAGGTTGAAGATCCCTTGTATGGGAAATAGGGTGCAGTTTGGGGCCATCATGGTTTATCTTCCACTGCCCTCAGGTGTGTTTGGGGCCATCATGGTTTATCTTCCACAGCCCTCAGGTGTGTTTGGGGACCATCATGGTTTATCTTCCACTGCCCTCAGGTGTGTTGGGGGCCATCATGGTTTATCTTCCACAGCCCTCAGGTGTGTTGGGGGCCATCATGGTTTATCTTCCACAGCCCTCAGGTGTGTTGGGGGCCATCACTGGTGTTTGGGCCATCATGGTTTTGGGGCCCACCCTGGTTTGTCTTCGCGGCCATCAGGTTTCTTCGGCCTCTGGTTTTTGGGGGCCATCAGGTTAGTCGTTGCAGGCCCATCATGGTTTTTCGGAGCCCTCATGGTTATCTTGCAGCCTCATGGTTGTTGGCTCACACTTTCATGTTCTGCCGTCAGGTGTTTTGGGCCATCTGGTTATGTTCCTGGGCCTCAGTGGTTGGCCATTCCACAGCTTATCTTCCAGGCCTCAGGTGTTGGGGCCATGGTTTATCTTCCACAGCCCTGGGTGTTGGGGGCCATCATGGTTTATCTTCCACGCCCTCAGGTGTGTTGGGGGCCTATGGTTTATTTCCACTCCCTCAGGTGTGTTGGGGGCCATCATGCACTGCCTTCAGTTGTTGGGCAGCCTCTGGGTTTCTGCACAGCCCTCAGGTTTTTTCGCCTCAGGTTATCGTTCCGACGCCATCATGTTTTCTTGCCATCATCGGTTTTTCGGGCCTCTCATGGCATGGTGGCATGAGTTTCACACCTAACCCTGTCGGGTGGCCATGGTTAATCTTCCTCAGATTTCCAGATTGGGCCTTGGTTAATCTTCCGTCTAGGTGCTTCTGAGCCAATAATGTAATTTCACTGCCTGTGTTGGGGCACAATGGCTTCCATCTTTCACCCTCAGGTTGGGGGCCATTGTTTATTTCCAACAAGCCCTAAGTGGTGGGGCCGTCTCAGGGCATTGTGGCCCTGATTCAATTCAGATTCCTCCGTTAGCTTTAATCTGCAAGAATCCAAAAGAATTGGATTTACGTTTACTGGCCCCCCTCTAACACAAATAGTAGTTTACCTATGAGAAACTGCCATCTTTACATTAGCGTTGCGCGTCAAGGTTGGGGTCAGGGTGGGTCAATTCCTTTTACATAACTATACTAAGAAGTGTGCTGACTTCGCTTCCATTCAATTCTACCTAAATGCTTTTAAATGAGAAAACGGAAATGGAATTTGGTTTACTTTCTGAATTGACCCTAACACTGCTTACAGTGCATTATACTAACAGACAGACGTCCTGATTAGCCTTTCCCTCAGTGCATTATACTAACAGACAGACGTCCTGATTAGCCTTTCCCTCAGTGCATTATACTAACAGACAGACGTCCTGATTAGCCTTTCCCTCAGTGCATTATACTAACAGACAGACGTCCTGATTAGCCTTTCCCTCTCCCTGCTAGGAGCTTCCTAAGTACCTGAGGGGGTACCACCGCTGCACGAAGGAGGACATGGTGAATGTAGGGGCTCTGCTCTTCAGGGTGAAGTCCAACAACGACAAGTCCCAGTTCGTTATGATCCCCAAGATGCTGAAAGACCTGGTGCCCGGCGACATGCTGAAGGCCATGTCCGCTACGGAGTGGCAGAAGGTAAGATCAATCAATCAATCAATCGTTTATTTATAAAGCCATTTTTACAGTTGTCATGCATCGAAGTAAGAGAGTCTCTCTGTGTCACTGTAGTCATTCCTCCAAAAGTGTGCACTTGTTCACTTCCCTGAATCGGTATATGAGATATGGTTTACTGGGAGGAGTGCATGAGTGCACATAGCTGGAAGGGACTGGGTGATGACGTCATGTGGCCTGTATACAAAGACAGTCAGTAGACAGTCACAGCCCCTTTGTCTGTGACTGCAGCTCCACGTTACCCTCTACATGATCCCTGAACTCAAATGACCCTTAACTCAGTTCATTAAATCGGTGAGGTCAGAGGGATCAACTATGTAAAATGTCTTAGAAATGTTTTTTATTTTTTATTTTTATTTTTTTTAAACCATTTTAATCTCTTTGATACCAGAACATCGTTGCGGCCTACAACAAGCAGGCTGGCATGACTGCTGAAGAAGCCATGCTTGCGTTCCTCAAGGTGGTCTGTCGCTGGCCCACCTTCGGCTGCGCTTTCTTTGAAGTGAAGGTATGGAACAGACATTGATTTTAATTTGTTTTATCACAAATTAAATTCCCCTCAGGAGAAATGGGTCTTTCCAGCCGGTGTACCGCAGTAGGTTCGAAGGACACAAAAGTAGTGCACTAGATAGGGAATAGGGTGCCATTTGTGAGGATGGAGCATGCACTACTCTGTCTTCCATCCTCATTAGAGATGTTGTGTTTTTTCCTCCAGCAAACATCAGAACCTAACTTCCCAGATATCGTCAGGATTGCCATCAGCAAACAGGGGGTCACAATCATCCACCCCAAAACCAAGGTAACACACACACACACGCACGCACACGCACGCACGCACGCACGCACGCACGCACGCACGCACGCACGCACGCACGCACGCACGCACGCACGCACGCACGCACGCACGCACGCACGCACGCACGCACGCACGCACGCACGCACGCACGCACGCACGCACGCACGCACGCACGCACGCACGCACGCACGCACGCACGCACGCACGCACGCACGCACGCACGCACGCACGCACGCACGCACGCACGCACGCACGCACGCACGCACGCACGCACGCACGCACGCACGCACCGCACACACACACACACACACACACACACACCACACACACACACACACACACACACACACACACACACACACACACACACACAATCCCAACATTCATTCATTCATTCATTCATTCAACATTCATTCATTCACCATCAAAGACTCCTTTTTTTTCCTCTTGAGAAATGGTTCCTCTTAAATTCTGTTAATTACTCTATTTAGGGGACTTTCATTATAATTTAATTGTTTTATCAAGGCATATCAAGGTAATTTGCTTATTAATCAACTTCTGTTAGGCCAAATGGCTTCACGGCAGTTCTGTCTGACAGCCCCCCGCTTTCCCTCTTCAATTCAGTTAGCGTCCATTGATTCTGGGGCATCAGGTTACATTTCCACAGCCATTGGAGGCTCGAGAGTCCCGCCCTTAACGCTCATTCGCTGATCGGACTGTCCATCAATTTGTGTCGGAACGGTACATCTCAGACACACAGCTGTAGCGGAATGAATGTGTTCTATGACAAACACGATCGAAATAAGATTTATATCATTTTTACAATTATTTTTTAACTTGAACACAATTTGAAGATGTGAAACAAAATCACTTTGTGTTCGTCACAAAGGGACAAACGTTATATTAGATGAAAGCTGAGATCGTGAAGAATTAGTAGATTCGCTAGCTAACTCTGTGGTACGTTCACAGGGGTATAGACAACAACGAATGAGAGCAGTCCACCAGGAAATGAGTCGGATCTTCCCTGACCACTAATTATATAAAAAAAAGTATTACAATAATAAGGCATCTGAAATCTTATAGCTTATAGCAAAGAGACCTCCCGAGTGGCGCAGTGGTCTAAGGCACTGCATTGCAGTGCTAGCTGTGCCACTAGAGATCCTGGTTCAAATCCAGGCTCTGTCGTAGCCGGTCGCGACCGGGAGACACATGGAGCGGCACACAATTGGCCCAGCGTCGTCCAGGGTAGGGGAGGGAATGGCCGGCAGGGATGTAGCTCAGTTGGTAGGGCATGGGGTTGTGGGTTCGATTCCCACGGGGGGTATGAAAAATTTAAAAAATTATGTATGCACTCACTAACTGTAAGTTGCTCTGGATAAGAGCGTCTGCTAAATGACTAAAGTTGTAAAGTTGATTGTGAGTATATGTAGATTATTTTTTTAAAAACTATAGTATACACATTGTGAAAATGAAATCTAGGATGTACTATCTTTCATGCTATTTACTATAGCAGTGCATTCTAGTGCACAAAGTGCCTACAAATCATAGATAAATAATAACTACCAAAAAAAGCAAAAGAATCTGACCTTTCTAAACAGTACTAGGTAATATCCATGTCCCTCTCATTAAGATATGTTTTATACATCCAGCTGACATTAACATTCAACGGAGAGCATGAACAGTAAAGAGATGTCTGTCTGTCTAACCTGTCTGTCTGTCCCGTAGGATGTCCTTGCGACTCACCCGTTCAACCGTATCGCTAATTGGTGCAGCGGATCCACCTACTTCCACATCACCGTGGGCAACCTGGTTAAGGGAAACAAGATCCTGTGTGAAACATCACTGGTAAGACATGTGCTACTGTTTTGTTAGTTTGCTTGTTTGCTTGTTTTTTTTACTGTTGACTTTGTAGCTAGTTATTTTGTGTGCCTCTTTCACCTGTTTACTGCGATAAGCTTCCACCATTTCTTATTAACTCTTAATAAATAGGCCTTGAAATACATCCACAGGTGCACCTCCAATTGACTCAAATGATGTCAATTAGCCTCTCAGAAGCTTCTAAAGCCACGACATCATTTTCTGGAATTTTCCAAGCGGTTTAAAAGGCACAGTCAACTTAGTGTATGTAAACTTCTGACCCACTGGAATTGTAATACAGTGAATTATAAGTGAAATAATCTGTCTGTGAACAATTGTTGGAAAAATTACTTGTGTCATGCGCAAAGTAGATGTCCTAACCGACTTCCCAAAACTATAGTTTGTTAACAAGAAATGTGTGGAGTGGTTGAAAAAACGGGTTTTAGCTCTTATTAGATAGATATGTTCAACCTTCAAGGCCAGGCACCACAGGCTGAAATGACATTTTTGCATCTACCTTTTAATTTTGATATTTGTTGGTATTTTGCTCCATTAATATTAGTATTTTCTCAAAGTAAACATAAAAATGTCAAAATCTTGATTAAAAGGTATATTTTCTTTCATTTATCATACTACCGTCATAAAAATGTCATACATTTTGACCACATTAAAATGGGCACACATCCATGATTTCAAAGCTCACTACATTGAATTACACATCATTTAAAAAGCCCATTTCATAGAGAATGTAACAATCTGGACTATATGTAAACTGAAAAAACTATATAAACGCAACATGTAAAGTGCTGGTCCTATGTTTCATGATCTGAATAAAATAATTTTCCCTATACACACAAAAAGCTTATTTCTCTCAAATTGTGCACAAAGTTGTTTACATCCCTGTTAGTGAGCATTTCTCCATTGCCAAGATAATCCATCCACCTGACAGGTGTGGCATATCAAGAAGCTGATTAAACAGCATGATCGTTACAGATTAGGGCCTAATTTATTTATTTCAATTGACTGATTTCCTTATATGAACTGTAACTCAGTAAAATCTTTGAAATTGTTGCATGTTGCTTTTGTATTTTTGTTCAGTATAGTAACTTACTTTGAAGAGATGGTGATTGGGTCTAAATAGGTTTTTGGCATTTGTAAGTCTAAATTCAGGGTTCTTGTATTTAACTGCCTTTTCCCGTAAGTCAGACTCTTCCCACACGCCAACAAATTTTCCTCAGCTTCAGAAGCATCTACATTCACCAAATGTTGTGTGGTCATCCTTAGATATATACTCGAGACTTGCCCGGATGGAATTGTTGATATGTTAAATTTTTTAAATTCTAGATAACATTTTATGTTTTTATATATTTAGTATTTTACAGATAGAAATGTAACCAAAAACTCTCCAGAGGTACAAGAATCTTCCCCATCACTGTAATCAGAAGACACTACAATGTTCGGTTCAATTAAAATGTTTTTACCTAAATCAGGGATTTCCTCATCGTCCGATCCGAGTCAGAGAGAGTCACCGTGGCACGACCTTCCTCCAGAAAGTAGTCCAGCACAACTTTTTCCCACTGATCTTTGTCGATAGCGCTATTAACTTCAGGGCGTCAATGCAACACTTTTTCAAATCAAATCAAATCAAATCAAATCAAATTTTATTGGTCACATGCGCCGAATACAACAGGTGCAGACATTACAGTGAAATGCTTACTTACAGCCCTTAACCAACAGTGCATTTATTTTAAACAAAAAGGTAAGAATAAAACAACAACAAAAAAGTGTTGAGAAAAAAAGAGCAGAAGTAAAATAAAGTGACAGTAGGGAGGCTATATATACAGTAAAATAAAGTGACAGTAGGGAGGCTATATATACAGGGGGGTACCGTTGCAGAGTCAATGTGCGGGGGCACCGGCTAGTTGAGGTAGTTGAGGTAATATGTACATGTGGGTAGAGTTAAAGTGACTATGCATAAATACTTAACAGAGTAGCAGCAGCGTAAAAAGGATGGGGTGGGGGGGCAGTGCAAATAGTCCGGGTAGCCATGATTAGCTGTTCAGGAGTCTTATGGCTTGGGGGTAGAAGCTGTTGAGAAGTCTTTTGGACCTAGACTTGGCACTCCGGTACCGCAGAGAGAGAGAGAACAGTCTATGACTAGGGTGGCTGGAGTCTTTGACAATTTTGAGGGCCTTCCTCTGACACCGCCTGGTATAGAGGTCCTGGATGGCAGGGAGCTTTGCCCCAGTGATGTACTGGGCCGTACGCACTACCCTCTGTAGTGCCTTGCGGTCAGAGGCCAAGCAGTTGCCATACCAGGCGGTGATGCAACCAGTCAGGATGCTCTCGATGGTGCAGCTGTAGAATTTTTTGAGGATCTGAGGACCCATGCCAAATCTTTTTAGTCTCCTGAGGGGGAATAGGCTTTGTCGTGCCCTCTTCACGACTGTCTTGGTGTGTTTGGACCATGATAGTTCGTTGGTGATGTGGACACCAAGGAACTTGAAGCTCTCAACCTGTTCCACTACAGCCCCGTCGATGAGAATGGGGGCGTGCTCAGTCCTCTTTTTTTTCCTGTAGTCCACAATCATCTCCTTTGTCTTGGTCACGTTGAGGGAGAGGTTGTTGTCCTGGCACCACACGGCCAGATCTCTGACCTCCTCCCTATAGGCTGTCTCATCGTTGTCGGTGATCAGGCCTACCACTGTTGTGTCGTCGGCAAACTTAATGATGGTGTTGGAGTCGTGCCTGGCCATGCAGTCATGGGTGAAACGAGAGTACAGGAGGGGACTGAGCACGCACCCCTGAGGGGCCCCCGTGTTGAGGATCAGTGTGGCAGATGTTTTGTTACCTACCCTTACCACCTGGGGGCGGCCCGTCAGGAAGTCCAGGATCCAGTTGCAGAGGGAGGTGTTTAGTCCCAGGATCCTTAGCTTAGTGATGAGCTTAGAGGGCACTATGGTGTTGAATGCTGAGCTGTAGTCAATGAATAGCATTCTCACGTAGGTGTTCCTCTTGTCCAGGTGGGAAAGGGCAGTGTGGAGTGCGATAGAGATTGCATCATCTGTGGATCTGTTGGGGCGGTATGCAAATTGGAGTGGGTCTAGGGTTTCTGGGATTATGCTGTTGATGTGAGCCATGACCAGTCTTTCAAAGCACTTCATGGCTACAGACGTCAGTGCTACGGGTCGGTAGTCATTTAGGCAGGTTATCTTAGAGTTCAGTTCTTCTTGATATCAACAACAACAACAAAAAGTGGTAAAAAGGACATCCACACAGACTGAGCAGCTCATGCTATAGACAGAAGCCTGCTACATGGCAGACCAATCCGAACTCATCTATCAGCATGTCCAGCCCATCCATTATCTCAGCCAATCATGGCTAGCGGGAAGGTTCCTGTATTTTTCTGTGGCTAAACCGAGCCAATTTAACAATTGTATTCGTATTTACAGATGGCACACAAGGTTGTTATAAAGGCACATGAATGTTCACGTTCCAGAAGGCATTTCTGGCAAAAAAACACATGTTGAGGTCATTTGCATATTTTAATTTAATATTTTAGAAGATGTGTAATACAAAAAAGTCATATTTGTATCTACATTCAACTTGTAAAAGTTAATTGTGAAAAATCCCTATTAGGGTGTGGTATCTGGCCTTAATAAAATACATTTATTCTGAATAATGTTTCCATATTGTGCTTTGTGTCTTTGTCCATCAGGGCTATAAGATGGATGATCTTCTGACCTCGTATGTCAACATGTACCTGAACGAGAGGAAAGCAGTTAGGACCAGAAACCAGAGATACAACTAATAACATGTAATAGGTTAACAGTTCATCACTATTTGGACAAGTTGCAAAGTCGGAAGCCCTCTCTAGTTATACAATTTCTCTTCTTCAGACCTGATTGTAAACCTAACCCTAACACCCTACCCTTAACCACACTGCTAACCTTATGCCTAACCTGAACCTTAAAGGGATAGCATGCTAGCAGATACTCATAGACTTCCAGCCATTGTGCTAACGCTAGTTAGTTAGCATTGGCTCTTGAAACCACCTTTAACTTACTTCATACTGGACACAGAGACATAAAAAAATGGTGTCCACCAGTTCATCTGACTCTGGGGATTTAGATAAAGGGCCTCATTGCCAAAATCCCGAAGAATCCCTTTAACACAAGGACCATATCGTAAAGATGTCATACATCTTCATGATATGGCAGGTAGCTTAGTGGTTAAGAGCATTGTGCCAGTAACCGAAAGGTCACTGGTTCTAATCCCCAAGCCGACTAGGTGAAAAATCTGTCGACGTGCCCTTGAGCAAGGCACTTAACCCTAATTGCTCATGTAAGTCGCTCTGGATAAGAGCGTCTGCTAAATGACTAAAAATGTTTAAAAAATGTAAAATATTGCCGATTTTGACTTTGCAGCTTGGTCGTATAGTGGGAACCATGTAACCAGGAACATGTGAGGCCTTGAGCTGCTGGGATGGAAGAAACATGATGCAAACTGTGCCTTGAATTTACAACTAATGTGCTAACACACTCGAACACATGCAACACACACACACGCGCGATACTATTTTGCATTCTAAATTATAAATGTAACTTGTGCATTGTGAACGTTAACTACATACGCACCACAGGACAATATACAACAGATTATCTAACAGATTATCTAACTTGAAATTTGAATTTGCTTATCTGTGGATGATACAAAATCTGCCACAAATGTTTGATATGCCCTGCCACAGATAAAGGAGGGCATAACTTATTTATAACTGACAAATATTACTGAAATATTTACTGAACTGATTTATCATGAAATGTGTACAATTCTGCTGCCATGTGTATACTGTATCTGATATCTCTTATGAAGAAACAGGTGTTGTCTGCCTTTGTGCTTCCAAAAAAAGTTTTGATGGACTGCTTCTTTTGTTGGAAACAAATTAATTTGTTTTGCATAATGATGACGTTACTTGGCAACACATA